TGCCGCTGGTGGGCTCTGTGCTCGCGGCTGCCACGAGCTCGGGGAGTCAGCAGCATAGCTGGCAGCTCAAGTGACCCTCGGGAGATGGGGACAGCAGACACACAAAGGTGTCTTTGGAGTGGAAATCACTGAGAGCCCCTGAAAAGTTGCCTTTCTGAACCAGACATTTGTCTTACCGTGGCACCACAGCTCCTTGGAGGAGGTTTTGGAGAAAAGTGGTTGAAACATTTCTGCTGAGATGTTTTTGCAATGACCAGTGGCTCAGAGGAGCCTATACTGCAGCCACAGAGCCCAGCTTTGCTGTGCAAAACTGAAGACTCAGACTGAAGATTCAAAACCTCTGGCTCCTGCTGCAGCAACTCTTTTATATTTGAAGAATTTTTTAGTTTAACACCAGCTCTGCTCATAGCCCAGCCTTGCAAGTAACAGTGGGACTACTGGGGATGCAGAGCAGCAGTCAGGTGCTGGGGAGGGCGTCTCTCCACTTGCCAAAAAACCTTCCCCTGCTCTGGGGCACCCGGCAAGAGCAGGACCATTGGAAAAACATACGTGGTGCTGCAGAAGTGCTGGCTGAAGAATTTTTTAGTTTAACACCAGCTCTGCTCATAGCCCAGCCTTGCAAGTAACAGTGGGACTACTGGGGATGCAGAGCAGCAGTCAGGTGCTGGGGAGGGCGTCTCTCCACTTGCCAAAAAACCTTCCCCTGCTCTGGGGCACCCGGCAAGAGCAGGACCATTGGAAAAACATACGTGGTGCTGCAGAAGTGCTGGCAGTTACCTGGAGGCTCGCCTTCAAGCAGCTGATGTCGCAGCCCTCGCCCAGGGCCGCCTGCACGGCGTGGATGATCACGCAGCACATGCACGCCCGGGGGCTCTGAGAGACCTGAGCTGCCTCCGTGTCGGCGACCAGCGCGTTGCAGATGGCTTCAGACAGCAGCTCTGGATCAGCAAAGATGAAAATCCTGGTGGGGCAGGAGGGTGGGAAAAGAGGAAGATGAGACGAGGATTCTCCATTAGTGACATCAGGGCTGGCACGAGCAGCTCACGTCTCCATTATCCCATGCAGAGAAAAAGGGTTGCTGCTGATACTCCCCTTCTCTGCCCTGTCTCCCCACCAAGGAAAGCTCCCTGCCTCCCAGGACCACAGACATAAATTGGGACACATGGGAGGAACGTGCTCCTCCTAACGCAAAGCTCATTTTAGCGAGGCTCTGGATGCCACCAAATTGTGTTCCCCAAGACCACATACTGCCATGTGGTTTATGTCCAAATTATCTGTTCCATCCAACATTAATTCAGAGCACAGGAAAAGGACAGATTTCACTATGAGACTATAAAAGAAATAAAAGTAACACCACAATCAAAGAGGCACTACTCACTTTTCCTGGTAAGGGTACGGGTCGCTTTTGAGACTTTGTTCGGAAATGACCGTTCTTTGGTACAACACACCTACCAAATGCAAGAAGATAAGCACGCAGGAGTCAGAGCACGAGAAATAACAACACAACTCACCGGAGCCACTCAGCACTGCTCCTGGTTGTAGAGGCCGGTGGGTCTGCCAAGTCGGCGAACATCCATGATGTAAAAGAGATGATGTAAAAGAGCCAAGAATGGGGCCCAGGGTTAAAAATAGTCAAGGACAAAGATAGGCCATGCTATATAAAAAGAAAACCCCTTCTATTCAGGGACGATTTCCTGTATTTCCCTTGCTTTGTTTAGTGGATTTTGAGCTTGGGAGTGGAGTCGGAAGCAGGAGGAAGAGTCCTACTCCCGGCCTCTGTCCCCGGGGCCACATCAGGGGCAGCGCTTGGGTGGAGATGAAGAGCACAACGCGTTTCTGAATCAGGAGAGATGTACTTTACCCTCACCCAGCTCTGGGGTGGGGAAGATACATCCACCCCGCGTTGCTCAGGTGCAATCAATCTTGTGAACCACGTGGTGCTTGAGAGAAGCCCCGCTGGAGATCCCCATCTCTCCACACTGAGGCATTGTTCTACCAGGAGTCAGGTGAGATAAAGGTGGACCTTGGAGCTCCAGACAAAGTGATACTGGGAAAGAGCGGTCGGGGTGATGGTGATGGGTTGGGACGACCAAGAATGGTGCTTTCTCTCTAATTTTCCACCAGGTTTCTCCTCTTTTACCTCCATCTCACAAGGTGTCTGCACCTTGCACTGTTTTAAAGGGCTGCTTTTAAAAACTCTTATTAAAGAAAACTTTAAGAAGAGAAACTTTAACGAGCAACGTAGAGAAAAAGGGAAATAGAGTTGTCCTCTGGCTTGCTTTCTAAAAGGGACTGTTCTCTGCAGAAACTAATGACGTTTTAGTGGCTAAAACCTGATGCACAGGTAGTGGAGGGAAAGCTCATGCTGAACAGTCTGCAAGTCAATCTCAGATGGAGACTTCACTTTGCAAAAAGGAGACCCCCACAAAATTTACTGAGATGCGCAGGCTGGGAGCATAAGCACCCTGTTTCCCATATAGACAGAGGGTGTATATACACTTGCCTTGGGCTGGACTTGACTCACAGTGAGGTGGTGCCTACACTGACAGCAGGAGGACCCCAAGATTTTCTGCCAGTAACTAAGGCTCAGCAGCCTGAAATCAGGAGAGGGGAACCCTCCCATCCAAATGCATCCCTAAGACCCCCAAGCGTTTGGCCAGCCCCCTGCAGAAATCCCTGCCATGGCTCGCTGCATTAGGCAAAGGCCAGCTCAGGTATGGAAATCCCCCAAACCCAGGACCCAAGCCATTCACCGTGCCACGCATGAGCAGAGCGGAGAAGCCCTCATACCCGGTGCTGCCCTTTCCATCTTCAGCCTGACAGCATAGTCCAAACCAATGGTGCAGAAAGGCTTGGGCAGGGTGAGCAGCTTCTTGCAGAAATCATACACTCTGCCACAGAGCTCGTCAGAGATGCAGGGAGCCTGGAGCGAGAAAAGGGCAGACAAGGAGATGCCACAGGCAGTGATCCCTGGTGGTGCTCTCCCCACGACGGACCTCAGGGTGGCAGGTCACAGAGCTACACCAAATTCAATCTGGATTTAAATGCAATACATGAAGCAGAACCAGGCCCTGCAATGGCTTGGAATCCTCCAGGAATACCTGCTGAAGGGCTGTGGGCACATATTTTCGCCAAGTTGTGGCTTCCTGCACCACCAGGCACCGGAACGCCTCCAGAAAAAGGAGTCAGCTGGAGGGACCTGTCACTCCCATACATGTCCCAGGTGACAGTGTCTCAGCCATCAAACAGCACGCTGGGAAACGCACAGCTGAGTCCACCCGTGGTAGCCCCAGGGCTTTGCTGGGCGTACTGGGATATTACAGCACAGAAATAGGTGCCGAGTGACTTCAAGCAGCCCATCCTGCGGCTTCTGATTTCCCTGGATCTTGCCCCAGCGAAGCCCACGGTGATTACCTTTATCAAGGTGTACATCAGCGTGTGCAGCAAGGGAATGATGTAATGTCTGAAGTCACCTCGCTCCGCCTGCGGGACCAAAAGGCACAGTCAGCACCAGCAGCAGCTGGCAGTGTGCTGGGATGGGCAGCAGCGGGACCACCACAGCCCCCGGGGTGTGCCGGGTCCCGGCTGCTCGGCAGCTCAGGCACACAGGGAGAGCACGGGAATCCACCCTGGCTCAGGGGTGATGCTTCCCAGGTCAAAGTGGGGTTTGGGGTCCCTCCACAGGCCACCTGGGTGGGCAGGATGTCCTTGGGGCAGACAGGTCCTGCCTGGTGGGCATCCCGTGCCAGCCAAGCCTTGGGGAAGGGAGTGGGGATGTGGACCATGCTGCCGTGGCCACCACTGCATCACAGGGCTGGGGGTTGTTGTAGGGACGTGAAGGCTCTGGGAGCTGCTGCATGGTTTGCACAGCGAGAGCTGCTCAGGGCATATGCAGCAGTCATGGTGGGAGAGAGCGAGCAAAAGTTTCTAACTGAACTCATTAAGGAGCTCCTTTCTGTTGCAAAAATTCATGTGAAAATGTAAAACCACTGGGAACCCTCTGGAAAAAGCCTGTTTTACATTTGGTGGGTGTGGGGCCAGAGTGGACAGGGAGGAGAGATGCTCTTGCATCCCCATCCTGGCCCGTGGGAAGCCAGATGGACGCTCAAGCCGACACAGCCCTGGCCCTTCCCTGCAGCCTGGCTCTAACTGACAGCTCCAGCAACCGGAATGGCCCTGGATGAACCTGGGAAAGATATTTCCATCCCAAAGATATTTCCAGCACCTTTCTTCAGGGCTGCTTTGTTGAAGGATTGGAGTTAAATGGAACTGATGGCAGCAAAGCTTTAGATATGATCGATGAAATGAATGATACTGTATTGCTGAGACCAGCTGATATTTGCCCAGAGCCCTGTAGGAACTCAAGCATGAAATTGCTAAATTATTATCTGCGGTTGGTACTGACTGCTCAGAGCTGCTGCAGTACTGGGCGGGGCGGGGGAGGGGAGAAGTGACACTGATTTGCCAGAAGACCTTCAGGGAGATGAAGGGAATTACAGACCAGGAGGCCTGACATCCCTCCTGGGCGAGGAAAGATCAGCGTAGCAGAGCGCTAATAGGTATAACGGGGAGGGACTGACATGGTTTTTGCAGACCTCGAGCCCTTTGGGGGAATGCCTGCACCCATAGCCAAGGGTGATGTGGGTGTTCCTCTCGGGATTTGCAAGAGCCCCTTAATAAGATCCCTCCCCCAGGCACTGATGGAAGCTAAACTGCCATAGCGTGCGAGAGACAGCCTGCAAATGGCCTCAGAGCTGCTTAAAAGGCAGGAAACAAAGCTTAGGAATAACTGCGGGGTGTTCGCAGCACCGTGGTGTGTGCACAGGGATCTGCGCCGGGCTGACGCGGCTCAAGTGTGTGATACGGGAGTGTTGGTGGAGGGAGGTGACAGCCTTGCGGCGGGCGCGTGGTCCCCCAGGGCGCTGAGCAGCAGCTGGCTGGAGACACGGGAGCCGAGCCGGGCCGAGCAAGGCGGCTCCATCCTCCTAGCTCGAAAGGAGAAACAGCAAAGATGCAGAGAAAACGGTACGGGGAGGTTTCTGCACAAAGGACGACCAGCAGGGGCTCATCACCAGGGTGGGGAGCAGGAGGTGGAGGGGGGACGTGGGCTTTTCCTCCCCGCACCGGAATGAGAGGGCGCTGGGTAAAATGAGGCAGGCTCATAAGAAAGAAAACGTGCTATTTCTACACGACATCTCATCAAACCACAAACCAAGTTACGCCAGGATATTGCGGATGCTAGAGGTTTACACGAGACCAGAAAATGACAAGACAAATCAATGAAACAAAAAGCCCATCACAGGGTTTCCGTCAGATGCTCTCAGGACAGGATACTGGGTTAGATGTTTCTGCTCTGACACCCTCTGGGGAGGAAATGAGTGACATGGAAGAGAAATTTCCACTCTACCTGTGACTACAGCTGGCTGGGGTGGGATGAGGGAGATTTGGGGGTGGTCGGAAGTGTTTTGCATTTTGCTATTTGCAGGCTGCGAAGGCCGGCTGCCTTTGGCTTCTGTGGCGTTGGGCAGCCCGGGGAGGTTCCCTGCTCTGTCCATGGTTCACCGTCACTTTTGGGGCAAACAGGTCTCTGCAGCCTGTCAGCTGGGGATGAGCTACGGCTCTGCCCTGGTGTCCCACAGAGTTTTTCACTCTTTGCTGTGAGCCACAGTCCCCAGCCAGGCTCAAGGTCCCTAAAAACACCTTCACCATCTCCAGCCCCAGGAGAGGCAGAGCCCTGCGGATGGAGTCGAGTCCCCATCCCTCTGCTCCCCCGGGCCTCCCAGCACGGCACACGCCACGGAGGGGCTGATCCCGGTGCTCAGGACACGTCTGTGAGATGGCACTCACCCTTTCCAACTCCTTCACCAGGATCCTGACCAGGACAGAGCTGTTACTGGGATTCTGGTCGATTTTTTTATGCAGGGTCCATCGCAGCATCCCTGAGAAGGGAAAGCCAAGAAAGAGGTCAGGTTGTCAAGCGGAGCAGCGATGGAGCAAGGGCAGCATTGCACAGAGGAATCAGGAGACCTGGGCACTGTTGCTGCAAAAATCACCCACTGGGATGCTGCACCGACATCACTATCGGAGCCAAACCAGGCTTCTCTGCCCTCTGCTTCAATCTGTGACCCTCGGCGAGGGACAAGTCATGCTGCTGCCCTGGTTCTGGATGCAGCACTGATGTATCGTACCTCTAATGCTGGGAAACCTTTGGGAAGAGGTCCTAGAGATCCTAGGACTGGGGGCTGGAGGAAAGCAAAGCAGGGCAATGGACGTGGAGTTTGTCTCCTGTTCCCTCTGTTGCTCTGTTTATGACTGGCTGCTTTCACCGCCGAGGAATTTGGGTTCCTGCTGGTCCCAGCGCACAGCACCTGGACGCTGGCTGCTGATAGCTCACACTCAGAGCAAGGACCACAAAGCATCTCAGTCCTGCAGATGTCAAGGCTCATTCCAGACAAAATCAAATTTAATTAACTGTAAAATAGTCTGTGCACTCCAGGTAAAATCATTTTTTCAAAATTAATTAAGTTTCCTAAGGCTATAGCAGTCCAGTTGCTGGGTCAGCTAGAGTTTCATTCTCCAAAACGGTAACACAGGGATTTTAACAGACTCCTCAGCAAGGAGCTGAGCAGTGCGTGGCAAAGCGATACCCCCGCAGGGAGAGACTCCAGCTCAGAGGTGTTAAATGAGTTGGACAGGGCTGTGCAGTGAGTCAGTGTCAGAGCTGGGGACAGCATCACAAACCCTGGCATTTGATGTCCCACCTCAGCACTGGACCCCCGAGCGAGCGAAGGGTGTAGAGGGTGTAACAGCCATGTAGACGAGGGATGAAAGCTGCTGCAGTTGGAGCACAGCAGACACCAGGAGCTTGCCAAAGATTCAGCACCTCCGAGAGCAGGTTAAAAAGCCAGAGCAGTGCCAGGGAGTTGAGACCACCCTGTGCACCCCCCACCCCGGCGCCGTCTGAGAGAGGGGAGCGGTGGGG